TGATTCTTCTATAATTTCTTGTGAAATCTCAAAATGTGGTGATTCAATAGTTTTTGTATCATCTTGAGATATATCTATTTTATCTTTAATTTCATCTAATATTTGAGAATGGACAATGTTTTCATTTTTGGATAATTTAATATCTATTTCAATAGATGATTCTGTTTCTTTCGGTATTTCCTGTAGAAGTTTACTTTCTTCTAATTCTTCTTGCTTTTCTGAAGATAAAAAAGATGCATCATCAATTTCATTAAGTTTTATTTCCATAGATTCCATAGATTCCATAGATTCAACTTTTGGTATTCTTTCATGTATTGATTCCACTAATTTTTCTATATCTTCTTGTAAGATTTCAATACGTGTTGGTTCTAATAATTCTGTAACATCTTTAGATATATTTATTTTTTCATTAAATTCGTTCAGCACTTCAGAATGTACAATGGATGCATTGTCACTTTTAGGTAATTTACTTTCTATTCTAAGAGGTGATTTTATTTTTTTTGATATTTCCTGCATAGATTTGTTTTCTACCAATTCTTCTTGCTTTTCTGAAGATAGAACAGATGCATCATCAAACTCAGAAAGTTTCATTTCCATATCAAGTGGTGATTCATCTTCTGGTAAATTTTGTTGCATAGTTTCTACTAACTTTTCTATAGCTTCTTGAGAGATTTCAATTTCTGGTGGTTCTAACAACTTTGAAACATCTTGTGCTATATCTATTTTTTCTTTAATTTCATCTAAATCTTCAGAATCAACAATAGATGAATTTTCAATATTGGATAATTTATTCTTTATTTCAAGATATGATTCTGTTCTTTCTGGTATTTTTTGTAGAAGTTTATTTTCTTCTAATTGTTCTTCTTTTTTTAAAGAAACAACAGATATATCATTAAATTTAGAATCCTTTATTTTCATATCAAATGATTCAAGTATTGGCAAAGCTTCTTGCATGGTTTCCATTGATTTTTTTATAATTTCATGTGGTATTTCTATATTTGGATGCTCTACAGATTTTGTAATAACTTGTGATATATTTTCTGTGTCTGTAATCTTATCTGAAATCTTTGAATAAATATGAGATGTATCATCATTATTGGATAATTTAATCTCCATTTCAATAAGTGATTCTGTTTCCTTGGGTATTTCCTGTAAAAGTTTATTTTCTTCCAATTTTTCTTGCTCTTCTGAAGAAACAATAGATATATCACTAAAATTAGAATCCTTGATTTTTATACTAAGTGGTGATGGAAGTTTTGATAATGTTTCTTGCATGGTTTCCATTGATTTTTCTATAATTTCATGTGATATTTCGACATGCAATTGCTGTAATGGTTTTGTAATATTTAGAGACATATGCAATGTGTCCTTAATTTTATCTTGCACTTCTGGATATGTAAGAGATATATCATCAGTTTTGGATAATTTATTCTCCAATTCAAGAAGTGATTCTGTTTTATTGGGTATTTCCTGTTTGTTTTCTTCTAATATTTCTTGTTGTTCTGAAGGAATAGATGTATCACTAAAATTAGAATCTTTAATTTTCATATTAAATGACAATTCAAGTTTTGATGCTGTTTCTATTGATTCTTCTATATTATCATGTGGTATCTTAATATCCAACTGTTCTAATGGTTTTTCTTGAGATATATCTATTTTCTCTTTAATTTCATCTAAAATTTCTGAATGAATGATAGATTCATCTTCATTTTTGGTTAATTCAATATTCATTTCTAATGATGTTTCTTCTCTCATAGATACTTCCTGCAAAATTGTACTTTGAACTAATTTTTCTTGTTTCTCTAAAGAATTAATAGATGTATCATCAAATTTAAATACCTCAATTTTCATTTCAGGTGATTTTATTTTTGGCAATACCTCATGTTTGATTTCTTTTGATTTTTCTATATCTTCTTGTAAGACTTTAATATGGGAGAATTTTAATGAATTTGAAATATCTTCAGATTTATCCATTTTATTTTTAATTTCATCTAATACTTCTGAATGAACAATAGATGAATTGTCATTTTTGACTGATTCAATTTTTATTCCAACAGAAGATTCTAATATAGTAGGTGTTCTATCTAATATTTCTTGTAGAATTTTGCTTTCTTCTAATTCTTCTTGCTTTTCTGAAGATAAAACAGATGAGTCATCAAAATTAGGAAGCTTGAACATTGTGTCAAGAGATGATTCAACTTTTGGTATAATTTCATGCATAGTTTCTTCCACTGACTTTTCCATAGCTCCTTGTGAGATTTCAATATGTAATGGCTTCAATAATTGTGTATCATCTTGAGATATATCTATTTTATCTATAATTTCATCTAATACTTCTGAATGAACAATAGATTCGTTGTCACTTTTGGATAATTTAATATTCATTTCAAGAAGTGATTCCGTTTTTATAGGTATTTCTTTCAGAAGTTTGTTTTCTACTAATTGTTCTTGTTTCTCTGGAGAAACAATAGATGCATCACTAAAATTAGAATCTTTGATTTTCATATCAAATGGCGATTCAAATTTTAGTAACATTTCTTGCATTTTGGTTTCTACTGATTTTTCTATAGTATCTTGTGAAATCTCTATATGCGAGGATTCTAATGATTTTGAAACTTCTTGAGGCATATCCATTCTATCTTTAATTTCTAGCACTTTTGGAGAAACAATCGATGTATCGTTGTTTTTGTTTAATTTAATCTTTTCCTCAAACGACAATTCTATCTTTTTTTGATTTTCTTGAACTATGTCTAACTTATCTTTATGCTCCATTTGCATCTTTGTTGCATCTTGTTGCACTATAGACGCATCATCGCACTTTGATAACTTGGTGTTCATTTCAATTAGAGATTCCATTCGGTTAGTTTTTTTGTATTTATTTTTATATTCTTTAGAATCGTTAGTCGATTCGCCTTTTTCAGTAGAAATTATCGATACATCTCCAGATTTTGATAATTCAATCTTCATACCAATAGGTCACAACACAACGATGAACTTTCCGATACCATTGCTGAGATGAATTGATACATGTAAATATGAATATATACTCGATACTTTTGTTTCGATATCAAATACTTTTAGTATCGATACCTGCAGATGCGATTCTTAATTAATATCGAAAAAAGTATTTCTATTGAAATAAAATAAATGTTGACATTTAATATAAAAAATAAATGATTTAATTAATCTATTCTAATATTTCAAATATAAATTTTTATTCATGTTATATGATCTTAATGTATTAAATTATATCATTATAATTTATATTTATTATTTAAAAAAAAGAAAATCAACCAATGATTTCAGAATTCACTAGCTGAAGCTTCATTCTATTGGACAACGACAAAATAACCTAAGGATAATAAAAGCAAATGCGATGTATAGATGCATATTCTATTATTTATGTGTTTGTGATTAACATAAATAAATATCGATATAAAAGTATCGATACATTTGACTATATCGAATTCATTCAAATTAGAATTTTAAGAAATATTTGTAGTTTTTGAAATATTTTTTTATATTTTGATATTTTTCAAAACAAAATTCAATTTGGTATTTTCGCTATTTCTTAACGAAATTTTAATTTAAATATATTTTAATTTAAATTATAATTATAATTATTATATTTTGTTATAATTATTCAGAGATTTTAATGTCATTATAAATATTAATTATGTTA